CCCTGGTGACCTTATTTCTGTTGACCTTATTACCTGTCACCTTTGATCCAGAAGTAAAATACATGCTTTAAGAAGAGAATTTCGGGCATACAGAAACTAAATCTCATGCTTCTTAAGAGGAATTAATTTTTGATCATACACTGTACCGTTTTCTCATTGTTTTTATTTCAAGTGACTATCATTGTAAAATTATTTTATTTTTCAGTGTTAAGAATAAGAAGTAAGTATACAATTATTTTGTTAAACAGTGTTAGTGCACAAAACAATCTAATAATTTTATAAAAATTGTAAGATATTTCCCTTTTGGATTTGTCTACAGCATTTTCAGAAGAAAAAAGCGGTTACAGACTTTTGAGCATCAACTTGTATGAAGCGGCCACATTGTGCGTCGATATAAATGTTCGGGCGCATAAACGGTTTTAGGGCCAATTTCAAATGAATATTTAAACGGCCCTTAAATTTAATTGTGGATTGTTGTTTAAATGACATTTAGCTTTCGTTGGGCTTCAGATAAAATTTGTTTAAATATGCCAAACAATTGGCAGCACTGCTGCTTGTTCCTTGAAATTGTTGTTGCATTTGCTTGTTTGTTTACATTTTGTGCTGAACAGCTGATTTTTTGGTGGGTTTGATCAAACAATTTACCAATCAATCTTAGTTGTATGGTATAATCACAGGGTTGCATACATATCTCATATAAATAGCCAATATTGACCATTAAGAGCAGTTACTTACGTAGGCCATCTGAAATTGGGCCTTAGATTTGAGTTAACTATTTAAATGAACATGTCTAGTTTGGAGCAAAAAATGATGCGTACGAGACTGTAAATTACTATCTCGGTATTGCAAAACGAAAAACTCCTTCTCCGATTCAATCGTTTTATTTTATACAACAAAATAGCAAATGGTACAAAACAGCTGACGGGCAGTTCAAGTAATTAACTGCATTTGGCTTTCAACTCGTGTTGAATATAAGCGAGTTGATATGAAGCATAAATATAGTAGTATATGGTGATAATGACATATCGGTTTAGTTAGAATTAAAATCCAAATTTCATTGATAGTCCGGCTATCCAGCTTGAGAAATTATATTGCTGTTGATAATTATGTGCTTTGACTGATTTTTTACACAACTACTCCTGTGTGAATCTGCTTTATTTATGTAATTTTAATCCTTAAGAAGAGCATAGAAGGCAAAAATATGCGAGTAGGCATTGCAAGTGAAATAAGAAAGAAAAATACAAAATAAGTAAATTTCAAACATATTCTATAGTATGTTCAGTTAGACTTAGTGATACAACCTTATGTAGTCATGAGTGAGCGGCACATATTTCTGTTCTATCAATTGGTATCATTTTTTCAAACTATGTACCGTTACATGGAAGGTGGGCGTGGTTATTGTCCAATTTTGCCCATTTTCAATACCATCGCCCTTGGCTCAAAAGAAATACACGTACCGAGTTTCGTTAAGATATCTCTCTGCTATATCTATCTTGATTCCTTTAGTATGTCACAAAAAAACTGTTATGTGAACAAAGTTATAATACCCTTGTGTGCATAGGTACATAACGCTTATTTACCAAGAGGCTGTCATAACTCAAAAACGGTATTTTTTAAGAAATGCGTTTAGAATTCTAAATTTGCTCCCAAAGTGCATAAAAAGGCATCTGCACCAATTGTTAAAAATTTAATTTTTTGAGTTATGACAGTTTTCTAAGAAATGTACATGCATATATGTATATAGAGTACTAGCAGAGCACCCGACATCGTTCGGGGTAAACAAATAAAAATATAAAACAGTAATACAAATATTCAGTTCAGCATAATTTAAAGGAGACAAAATATTTTCTTTGTTTACATTAAGGCATCCTTATGAGCCATACTTTTAGCTTTATCGTGCTTCAACTAATACATATATTGTTTAGATTAGGGAGAGCGGGAGATCAGGTTTGGAGGTGTGGCCGAGTTAGAGGAGTAGCGGAGGTAGGGATTACCTTTGTGAGTGTTGAGGTATCGAGCTCAATGAGCCCACATGGTTTATAGGTGCACATCAAGCCAACCACGCACCAGTGATCGGACTTTTACCACATTGTGGTAGATCTGCCACTTTTTTGAGCACCTACCACATCTACCACACAAGGTCTGAAATCTACCACATATTCGGGTTTTTGAGTAGTTTTATTTTTGCTCGACATAATTTTCTTAATTTTAAGAGCAAAAATTGTCCAACACTAAACACTAACAACAGGCAGAATGGGAGGATAAAATAAACATTAAAATAGTAAATTTTCTCAATATTCAATTTTTCGACAGGAAACATGGTTTTATTGTGTTAAATTGCAAAATATATGATTTATAAAAAATAATTAATAGCGAAAATGTTAAAAAAACGGCGATTTATGTGAAAGTATTAGAAAATTTCAGTGCATCTTAAGTTTCTAAAGCGTTGTTTACTTTTGCTTGAGAATTGTCAAAATCGGCAAATCCCAAGTATCTGTTTCTGGAACGCTACATCGTGGTGTGATAAAAAGAAAAGCTGGCAGCACTCCGCAAGGTTCGAAAAATATCTTGATATGGAAGGAACTGCTTTACACTGTCAAGGAAAAAAATTGCCAAAACTCAAACGAATTTTTAGCAACTTCAATCTTGCATTTTATTATACTAAAATCGAATTTTCTTGGATTCGAATTAAAATGTTTGCAATTTAGGTGAAACCTTGCAGAATATTATTAATTTTTGTACAAAGTTTGATCAAAAACCTGAGATCTACCACATTTTTTTGAAATATACCACATTTTTTTCCAGATTCTACCACACACATTTTTTTTTCAAGTCCGATCACTGCCACGCACTCCATATGCCTGCTATGCGAGAGAGAGAGAGAGAGAGAGAGAGAGAGAGAGAGAGAGAGAGAGAGAGAGAGAGAGAGAGAGAGAGAGAGAGAGAGAGGGAGATATGCGAGCAGGCTTATGAAGCGGTAGCGCATGATGTGGCCCTTATACCATTTATTTATTGGGGGACTCCATTGGAGGAGTCATGCTCTAGCTGCCGTAGGCTGCTGTGCAATGAGCGGGGATTTATTTGGAGGGACTCCAATGGAGGAATCGTGCTCTAGCTGCCGTAGGCTGCTGTGCAATGAGCGGGGATTTATTTGGAGGGACTCCAATGGAGGAATCGTGCTCTAGCTGCCGTAGGCTGCTGTGCAATGAGCGGGGATTTATTTGGAGGGACTCCAATGGAGGAATCGTGCTCTAGCTGCCGTAGGCTGCTGTGCAATGAGCGGGGATTTATTTGGAGGGACTCCAATGGAGGAATCGTGCTCTAGCTGCCGTAGGCTGCTGTGCAATGAGCGGGGATTTATTTGGGGATGTATGGATGCAGAGCCCCTGTGTGGCTTGCAAGCCGTAGCTTACTAGCATACCAAAAAACACTCCGGGAGTGGAGTGAGAGCGATGCTTAAAGCACCGTGTGATAGCCAAGCTGGGTTAGCGTTGACCATGGCTGGAAATGCCACCGACTTATCACTTCACTAAGTTCCGCGAAGAGATATTTGAGAATTGCATAAAAAATGCATAGCCAATTAAGAACGAACGAATTACTTTTAAACACAAGTGCGTGTGTTTGTTCGCTGCACTTGGTTTTATGCTGGAGTGCACTACAAGTGCGTGAAATGCAATACAAATGCGTGTGTGTGTTCACTGCTTCTTTGTTTATGCGGGAAATGCATAAGTCGCTTAAACACATGTTGATCATCACTTGCACTGCAAATCTTGTTCCATTATTTATATTAGGTGGATTAAGGTAACGATCAAATTTCTTAATTAAAATTAGTCTACTACGGTACATTCCGTTTAGCTACCTATTCGCTTAGCTGTTTTAGTATAGCTGCACTTTTCTGATAGAATGCTTATTTCGGAAGGAGGTTTATTCATTATGAATGAACATTTTTCGTTTAATAGCATCGCGGGATTAAAAAACAATTTAATCTTTCCATTTCAAAATAATATAAAGACGGTAAGGTTTCAAAAAAAACACACAGTTTTAAATATCCGAGTTATCTAATAGATGAATACATATGTGTATATCCCCCTTTTATAAACTCATTTATATATACTTCACTCTGAACACCTCTCATAGATACCTATGTCTGAATACCAAATTTCAAGTTCATGTGACTTATGGTTCCCAATTTATGGCTGATTAAAAATTCCACTCCTACTGGATGTGCCACGCCCCCTTTTACAAACTCAATTATGTATACCCTCATATAAGCACCTACTATTGATATGTCTTCTTACCAAATTTCATGTTCATGGTTCCCAAGTTATAGCTTATAAAATATTCCACGCCTATGGGATGTGCCACGCCCCCTTTTACAAACTCGCTTATACGTACCCTTCTATAAGCACCTTCCATTGGTATGTCTGCATATCGAATTTCTAGTTCGTGGGACTTATGGTTCCGAAGTTATGGCTGATAAAAAATTCCACGCCTATGGGATGTGCCACGCCCCCTTTTACAAACTCGCTTATACGTACCCTTCTATAAGCACCTTCCATTGGTATGTCTGCATATCGAATTTCTAGTTCGTGGGACTTATGGTTCCGAAGTTATAGCTGATAAAAAATGCCACGCCTATGGGATGTGCCACGCCCCCTTTTACAAACTCGTTTATATATACCTACCTATAAGCATCTACCATTGACATGTCTGCGTACCATGTTTCAAGTTCAGATAACTATGGTCTGGAAGTTATGGCTGATTAAAAATTTAACTCCTATGGGAGGCGCCACGCCCCCTTGTCGGATCCCAACTTTTTTCACCTTATTATAGGCCCAGGTGTCATGGCAATACTCTGTAAATTTTTTTTCGATTCTGTCCGTCCGTTTAGACTTCAACCTGGCACATACATATGTACATACATACATACATACTTTCACATATATATAGTAGAATTAGGCCTTTTATGTATAGATGTATATTTTTTACAATTTTCCCAGGTATCACGGCTCATCGGTTGTCGACTTTGATTCCCAGCGCGGTGGAATCAGTCTAGAAACGGAGAAAACGGATGTGGGTACCACTAGTCGTTTAATGCTAACACGCGCTTCATTGCGTGACTCTGGAAATTACACCTGCGCACCAATTGGCGCGGTACCAGCGTCAGTACGAGTACATGTCCTCACTGGTAACGTAAAAAGCTTTTGTGTATATTTTGTAGTTGAAGCAAGTATATACAGCTTTCTTCTTTGATTTTCAGGTGAACAACCTGCGGCTATGCAAACTGGTACAGCAGATAGCGTCTTCATAGAAAGTCCTGCATATTTAATAATTGCTGCTGTATTTATTGCTGCTTGGAACCAATACTTAATCATATCACAGACGACTTCCAGCTACGCCAACTGTAACTTGTATCAACGAAGGTGACTACATACTCAATGACTAACTATTTTTCATTAGTTGAAAGCAACTGAAACTAACAGCCAATGCAGGCAGCAACATAAATTTGGAGGTAACACTTGTCATAAAAAAGAATATTTTGTATGTATTTGAGTAAATGTTAGTTGTTAATTTTTTTGCCAAAATCGTGTCATGGTACAAAATGGTGGCATACTTATGTTTACTTATTTATTTATTTCTTTATAGCCAATGAATACAATAAAAATTCTTATAGGCTAAATAGAAAATAGTTTAAAATTATTAATACATAACTATTTAGAGAAAAATAAAACTACTTATAAAAAAAGAATCAAAGAATTCCTAAAGCGATTTTTTGAAGTTGAAAAATCGATATCAACATATTTATAAATTCTGTTGAATTCAATTAAGGCATTTCGTGCATATAGATCCTTAATAACACCAAGATGGAAAAACTCTGAGCAGCGTAGAGGTCTGGCAGGTATATTAAAGAAAATCCTCTCAAGGAGTACGAGACAGTCTATAACACCGCAGACTAGATCAAATACAAAAGATAAAGAAAGGATTATTCTCCTACTTTGCAAGGATTTTAAGTGTATCAACAGGCATCTCTATTCACAGGTGGGGATAGGGTCAGAAAAGCGTAAGCTACGCAGCGCAAAGCGTAAAAAAATTTTTTGGATCCGCTCAATCCTACCAATATGGCATGCATAATAGGTACACCAGATGAAGGACGCGTAACGTACAAAAGCCATATACAAAAGTTTCAATGTATACTTTTCGGTGAATTCCCCATTATGCCGCCTTACGAAAGCAAGCATGGCATACGATTTTGTAATAATAAAATTAATATGATCAGCGAATGTAAACTTTAAGTCAAAAATTACTCCTTAATTTCATTTAAAAGCTGAAAAATGCTGGAAATATGATACGAGCCAGTGATATGCTTCGAGTAACAATTTCGAGTTTCGAGCCAACATGTTGCAAGGCAACTCATAGGAATAAGTTGCACTCCAGTACGGCAATACAAGCGAAGCAATTATATGTTTCATGAAAAGCTGTTCAATAGGAAAGCTTGCTTAAAATATACGCAACCAAGATTTGGTTCGACACCAATGTAAATGACAATGAGTTGAACATTAAGCAGAAAAGTACGTATGACTCCATGATTCAATAATGAAAGGTTTTGTATGTTTGCATTACAAAAAAACGTGGCAACCCTCATGGAAAATATTTCTTTATTTAAATTCTCAAAAATACCTTTCATTTGATATATAAATTGTTTCAGGTAAAAAATAAGTGGCAACACTATTTAAAAATATTTCTGAATTGATCTACATCGTCAAATGAGAAGTGCCGAAAGTTTGAAATTACATCGCGCCATTGACTAAATCGAGCTGTCGTGTGCTACGATTGGCCCCATGGATGTGGCTTGCCAATATTATACTGCGTAAAAGTCTCATTCGGGGCTGTAGGTCAATACCTAAATACCTTTGTTGACTCATTTACCAGAACCGTTGCGCGCTTTACTTTACAGCGACTGACAATCAATAGGTATCCACGAATGTCGACAAGTACAACCATGATACAAAAAAGAAGGTAGTTTCAATAAACAACTTTTGACGGATAATAAAATTTTTTGAAGTTTCATAAATTGTCAGTATTATCAACGGCCTTGCCACTTTGATAATATTAAAACAATACATCGGAGTATTTTCTTTCCCATATTTTTACCAATGTGAGAATATTTCAAATCAAAACTCACAATCAGTACTTGATATTTTTTTACTTACGTGGTTTGCCCCTCTTTTATTAAAAATATATAAAATGTAAACTGTTACATTGTAATTATTCTTTTTATTTTATAATAAAAACCATTAGTGCATTATGTTGTTATTTTTTTCATTTTCTTATTTTGATATACAATTTTCGTTTCTTTAATCTTGCGATTTAAAAATCGAATTCTAAAGAATGTTCTTCCCAAATAAAATCTTTTTATAATATTTTGGTCCAAATTTACTTTTAAATTTCTCATCAGATTTTGCAAAAATTTTGGCTTTGTGGTTAGCGAATCACCATTAATTTCAACAAATTTTGAATTCAAAATTTCCAATGTATGCAAAAAACTTGAATTAGGCTTGTACAGACCGCCCTCCGATAAACAGTTAACATACGTATAATTTTGATCACTTTCTACATGCGTCCTGAAGCCTAGTTTTGTCAACCCCATTTTCGAAATTATGTAGCCGGCAAAATTTTCAAGTCCATCATATTCCACATCTTTGAGTGGACTGATGAAATCTTCTGCTTCATGCTCTTCTGCGAGCTACTAAAGCTAAGCGAGCTAAAAAATTAGAAATCAAATAAAAACGAAAGGGTAAGGAGTTTACCTCGAGTTCTTCTTCTGCGGATATTTCAATATCGTTAAGTGGTTTGAAAACATTTTCACTGAGCAACTCCTCTTCAAATTTTAACATTACTTCACTTGAAGACTCAACATTTGTTTCCGTGCTCAAAATAGTTTCGTTTCGCCCTAATAAAGTTCATGCATACATTTTAGAATCTTTATGACAACAACAATAATTTCTTTAAGTGGTTAAAAAATTACCTAGAAGGTATGATCGAAATCTGTACTTGAATTCGAGAGGTGACGGATGGTCATGCAGCCCTCCTTTCATATATGTTCAATAACTTCACTAAACTTCACTCATTTTCATACATTTTTGTTTACTTTTACAAAAAAAAAATATTATCTCTGGTGATCAGGTAGCATGAATTTTATGAAATGTCATAATTTTATTAAAAGTCAAATGGTTAGCAACAACAACGAATGTCATTAAATGGAACTACCTTCTTTTTTGTATCATGAGTACAACTACATATCGTCGCTGCGCCAACAAAAACAGTTATGTGATTTTTGTAAATTTTTTTATTGCATATTTTATTAACACTATCTATTGCCAACATTTCTGCATTTGCCGTTTTCTTATATCTCTTTTGGTTTAGAACTGATCAAAAACAGCTATGTGCTCGCAGTACTAGAAATATTCTGAAAAAACTGGTATACGCTTACTTGCTTATAACTGTTTTTGATAGCAGATGAGTGTGCACTGATTTCGATGTAAAGAATAATTAAAAAAGTTATTTTTTTTTCAAAGAATTAAAGGGTGGTTGTTAAAGGGAATATGTATGCGATTAAAAGACATTTTTAATCATTTCATAATGATATGGAAAATTTTGATGAACATGAATTTCAATTTTTTTGTTTCCATTTTAAATATTTGACGTGGGTGAGTCCAAATGAATTTTGAAATTTTTTAATTGAGTTTTACTTCAATATTTTCATAACTCAAAAAACTAAAAACTCGAGAAAACCAGCTTAAAAGTTTTGAATTTACATATACTCCCTGGGGAAAAATTAATACATATTCAGCTTTATCATGAGTTTCATTTTCTTCAAAACGGTTCACTTTTCACTATTTGTTTCTGTGAATTTACTATGCGCGCATGAACATTTTTCGGGTGAATTTTTTTTCGGGCGAAACTCAAGATAAGCCTGATTTTGTTCTGGTGAGCTACTGGCAATCGCTACAGCTATGCAATTTTTACACATCATAAGAACGAGGTAATGTTCATTCTTGCATACTTAGCGCGATTTTTGCTTTTCTGGGATTATGATACTTTTATAGTAAATGAGCGATGCACATATATGTACATATGTATGTGTTAGATATATGTATTTACTAGCCGGCCACGGATGCGCGAGGCTTCGCCACGCGCTGAATGTATGCATATGTATGTACATTTACGTATTTGGAGAAAGAAATCATATGTCATCACGTACTTCGTTTATTATATACATAAAAAATTGTGTCTAAATCCGTTCAGTGGCGTGGTTAAAATATATCGCCTTTGCTTTATACTATGTATCGAACAAAGTAATTTTAAATAGGTGGCAACCCTACTCAAAAACCTTAAAGTTTTTGAATGCGTTTTCGTTCGGTATCTAATTTTTTTATCCAACGGACGTTGAAGATCTTATAGTTTTTAAACATTTGGCAAGCCTACTCAGAAAAATAATACATTATTACACATCCACAGGCTAGGTCTTTTCGTTTCACAGTGACGGTGCAGAACTGACGCCTACGCTTATTAGAATTGAATTTAGTAATTTTATTAACAGATGGCAACCCTATTAAAAAAAAATATTAGTGCTTTTTTAGAGGTCAATCCCTTTCATTTGACACCTCATCTTTTGTAATCCAACGAACGGTGCGGATCTTACAGTTTTTTAGACAGGTGGCAACCCTATTAAAATTCTAAGTAAAAAACGATCCCTCTCCAGTCGATACAGTGTACATTAGAGAAAATCTCGTCAAAATCCGTTCATCCATTTTTATATACCAAAGGTTTTTTATTAGTCTCCTCATTGAGTTTTTCGGGGTTTTTGTGGGTTTTTGGCGGACCTATAAATTATAGTTGCGATGAAAGAATGGTTATTATTATTGGGAATCTCCCGCAGATAAGCTGGGTTTTCCGATAGAAGAATAATGATTTTTAAGAATTCTATACCATTTCTATTGAGTTGTTGTTTCCCCATATAAAATACATGGAAAACTTTGGGCGCTTTGAGCGACCTCTAAATATTTTTGATTTCAAAATAAAACAAGTAAGAGCAGCGCTGTCTTCAGCTATGCCGAACGCTTCATACCTTTCATGAAAATCTGCAAACTTTACTTTAACAGATTAGTGCATTTGAAAAAATTTATATATTCACAGCACACATAGATAGAGGAGTTACACATATAAAAATCTTATCTAAACAATCAGAGGTATGGAAGATATATCTTATATAGCACCAATCAAAGTGATTTTCATTGCTGTGTGATCGGTATGTAAACCGGTAACACAATTTAATGGGTTTAGCTTCCTACATAAAGGAGATATATCGAAAAAACTGGTATAGGAACAATCAGTGGTATTCGAGATAAGGCTTATACAGCATAGATTTTGACAATTCTCTCAGTAGACTTTGTATTATTATTTATACAATAGCTTACGAAATTTATCAGTTTTAGCTGTCCAAATGAATTA